CCACCCTCCCACCCAAAGCCACAGGCAGCTCATGAAAGGTTACAGAGTGTTTCTGGTACTCCCATGAAAGTAAAACATGGGCCAGGCATGGTGGCTCATACCTGTATTCCCAGCACTTTGGGAGGCCAAGATGGCTAGGAGCTCAAGACTAGCCTGGACAACATAGCAAGACCCTGTCTCTACATAAAATAAGAAATTAGCTGGGTGTGGTGGCATGCACCTGTATTCCCACTACTTGAGAGGCTGAGGTAGGAGGATTGGTTGAGCACAGGAGTCCAAAGCTGCAGTTATTAAGGCTGAGCTATGATCACACCACTGCCCTCCAGCCTGGGCAACACAGCAAGACCCTGTGTCAAAAAAAAATAATAATAATTTTTTTTTTTAAGTGGAGCATGTTACAGGTCTAGGGGCAGAGCCGCGTCCCCCTTGGTGGCTGGAATCCTTCCTAGGACCTGCGTGCAGCAGGGCTGAGGGCTGGGCCACCATGCATAGCACCTCGGGTGTGCCGGCAGTCCTCGGGGTGTCCCAGTTCAGGACCCCATGCTAGCCAGCACAGTATGGGCCACTAGGGTGGGTTGCCCTCATGTCACTGTCATCCTGCCCCTGTCCTCAGACCTGGACCTGCCTAGAGAGGTCACTGGGAGGCAGCAGGCACCAGCATCGTTCTGCTCCCCGCCATGATGACCCTGTATCTCTCAGGGCCATTAGAGTCTGGGGCCTTTCCAGAAGAAGCCCACCAGTGACCATCACCCTTAAGAACGCTTAACATGGAGAAGTCCTTGGACTCCTTTCATTCTAGGATAATTGCTTCTCACTGAGTCTGAGGGAAGAGCTTCCATAGAGAAGTTGATCCGTCTGCTCCATTTGACATAGTGTCATGAGCTTTAAGGGACTATTGAACCCCACACAACTGGGATCTTTGTAAAGGTGACTTGGTTCTAAAAGTTTGGCTGCACTTTGTCAGGGAACTGTCTGACTCTGCTGCTCACTCTCGCCACCTTTTTTGTATTTGACGCCATCTTTACTTCTCCCTCCCACCCCCACCCCCACCCCAGGCCCTCATGTTCTTGAGGTTACAGGGAAACCAGCTGATGGCGCTTCCACCTCAAGAGAAGTGGACTTGCAGGCAACTCAAGACGCTGGATCTCTCCAGAAACCAACTTGGCAAGTAAGCAGCGGCCTCTTTATCCCAGGAAGTTCCAAAGCGTGTGTGTGGCCCTAGCTGGGCAGGCTCTTGGGAGGGTGATGTAGGGTCTACTGGGGTTGCTCTACCCCAGCCTGGGGGCTTAGACAACAGAAATTGCTAGCTCGTAGGTCTGGAGTCTGGAGGTCCGAGATCAAGGTGTCACCTGGGTTTGTTTCTTCTGAGGCTTCTGTCCTTGGCTGTGGCTGGCTGCCCTCTCCCTGGGTCTCATGCGGTCGTCCCTCTGTGTGAGTTGGTGTCCAGAACTCCTCTTCCTTTAAGGACACTGGCCGGATTGGATTATAGTCCATCCTAATGCCCTCATTTTAACTTGGTTACCTCTTCAAAGACCTCATCTCCAAATACAGTCCCATTCCGAGATATAGGGACTGGGTCTTCAGCATCTGAATAGGGGGACACAGTTCCGCCCACGCAGTCCTCCATTCTAACGTTTAGAGGTGCCTGGAGAGTCTTGTCTGTCATTCCAGTCTTAACTGCAAACCCTATTCAAAGGTCTTTGCTAGTCCCTAACTACAACACACATAGAATTGGAAAAAAAGCATCTCCCTGCAAAGCCTTCCAGTACCAGGTAAAGCACAAGGGGTGAGGCTGACAAGCCTGTAGGTCCAGGAGACCAGCCACCCCGGCTCATCGACTGCAGGCCACTTGCGCAGTATCTCAGCAGGACTCACACCCCAAAGGGCAGTGTAAAATGCAGCAGCTACCAGAATGTGCTCTCACGCCAGGCACCAACACGCTCACTCCTGCCTGGGGTGGAAGTGCCTGAGGATGGAAAATGCCAGAGTTAGGTCTTCTCTAAACATTTCCCCTAAAAGACCCCTGAGTGCTACCGGTGGCACATAAGCTGCAGGGGCCCAGACATCTGCTGATGGAATTTCCTCTCTTCTTCGTGACCCAGCGTTATACAGTCTCAGCCAGAAGAGTAACATCTTTTTGTTATGCCGTTCTCAAATGCTGACTTTTTATCCTTCCAGCAGAAATGAAGATGGACTTAAAACGAAGCGCATTGCCTTCTTTACCACCAGAGGGCGCCAGCGTTCCGGGACTGAAGCAGGTGTGTGCATCGGTGTGGGGAGATATGGGTGTTCCCAAAGGAGACAGCTGGGTGCCCTTGCTTTCTACTCTACCAAAAGGGGGTCGTCCATATGGGGGGCTTTCCCCTCAGTCCGCTGTGGAAATGCCAGAGGTGTCCATGTTCAACTGAAAAACCTGCACGTGAACTGTGCCTATTACTGACGTCACACGTGTACAAGCATCCTGAAGGCCTGGTGTCCTGTCTGGAGGCCAGTGATGCCAGGAGCTACCTGTGTGGCTGATCTCCTGCCAAGCACTCCCCTAGATAGGTCACGTGGTACAGTCTCTAATCTCACGACATGACATCGGGACTGCAGGTCTCCATTTTGCACATGAGGAAACTGCGACTGCCAAGATCTTAGTCTGCTTGGGCCACCATAACAAAATCCCATAGGCTGGGTGACTTAAACAACATTCGTTTATTTTCTGACAGTTCTGTAGGCTGGAAGTCTGAGATCACCCAGCATGGGTGGGGCCGAGAGTGGGGCTGCCATCCAGGCTGCAGACAGAGTCTTCTTGTTGTGTCCTTAGGTAGTGGAGACAGGCTCTGGTCTCTGTTCCTCTCATGAGGACATGAATCTCATCACAAGGGCCCCACCCTCATCTAAACCTAATTAATGTCCAAAGATCCCGTTGCCAGATACCATCACATTGAGGGTTAGGGTTTCCATACATAAATCTGGGGAGGAACACAGTTCACTTTATAACAGGAGTTGACTGATTTGCCCCTAGTCATGTGGCTATTGCTTGGAGACAGAGTCATGTGTCAGACCAGGACTGGGGGATCCAGCCCTGAGGTCAGGCATGGTGGCTCATGGGCCAGGCATGAGCTATTAAGTGCTATTAAGTCCTTCCTGCCATACGATGACATCTTGCAAAGTCCACATGAATCGCAGTCACCCTTGGTCCTATAGGCTGTGGCTATGGCTGAGGTAACAAAAGAGCCTGTGGTCTCCCCCAAACTCATCAGAAACAGCACTTGCCTAGAGTTTTTGTACTAGTCGCACAACAAGACCCGTTTGACACACAGTATTTCTAGGGAAACAGACTCTTCTTGTTTGTTATATTCTGAGAGGCCCAGGGGAGGGTATGAACCTATCCCTAGCATTAATCGACCAGCCCTGCTTTTTAACACCAAAGCTAAGACTTCTGAAGCCAGCTAAGCTCACAGAAACATCCCTCAGGATGCTGTCCCATAGAATAGGAACCAAATGTAATATAATGCCCTTCTTCAGCTTGGTAGAATGATGTTGGCAAGCACAGACGGTGTGAGGGAGGGATGAGAAATGCCACAGAGCAGGGGTGAGAGCCTGCTACCTGCTGTACTTTTTGATGATCTAGTGTGCCTGTGTGTACACATATGGCATGCCCGTGAATCCATCCTTGTGTTTATATATGACTGAAAAAGTAATATGTTATCAGTGGAAGAGATAAGAGAGGCCAAAAACAGATCTAGGTAAACATAGAAATGGAATATATGACAAAGGTGGAGTTTCGATTTAATGGAAAAGAATGCGTTTTGGGGGGTTTTTTTGTTTTTGTTTTTTTTGTTTTGAGTACGAGTCTCACTGTCACCCAGGCTGGAGGGCAGTGGCACGCTCACGGCTACTGCAGCCTCGACTTGCTGGGCTCAGACAATCCTTCTGCCTCAGCCTTCCAAGTAGCTGGAACCACAGGTGTACCACCACACCCAGCTAATAATTTTTTGATTTATTGTGGAGATGAAGTCTTACCTTGTTGCCCAGGCTGGTCTCGAGCCCATGGGTCTAGGCAGTCCTCTCGTCTCAGCCTCCCAAAGTGCTGGGATTACAGGCATGAGCCATTACACCTGGCTTGTCTTGCTTTAATAAAGAATGTTGGCGTAACTGCCTATCCAGCCAGAAGGGGAGAACACAACACTAGATGCCCTACATTACATCAGTTACAAAAATTCCCATGTGGATAGCAGGCTTAAGTATTAAAAAAAAAAAAATAACATTTAAGAAAATACGTGTGTAATTTGAGTTTGGGGAAAGCCTTTAAAAGCTAGCTGGGAAACCCAGAAATCATTTTCTTAAAAAGACCAAAATCTTTGGCGCTATAAACATTGAAAAGCCTCGTTCAGTAAGAAGCATCACAAAGTGATCATGCAAACAGACTGAGAAGGAACATTTGCGATACAAATTGTTGCCGCACAAATTGACTCAAGTCTCTAATATACAAAGAATGCTTACAAACTTGACTTTTTTAAAAAAAGACAGGACAATAGGCAGAAAATGGGTAGAGGATATAAACAGTTTGCAGACAAGGAAGTCCAGACAGCCAGGAAACCAATGAAAATGTCCTTAACCATGCGAAGAGGGAAATGCTATTATGTGTTTCATAACTGACCCTTTTTTAAATGAAGGGCCTTAGGACTTTGGAAATTGAGTCCAGACTTAGGGATTTCGCTTGGAAGGAAGGAAGCACACACCGTCTTCTCCTTGAAGCCAAACAGGATGATGGGCATGAGAAGAGGAGCTGGTGTAGACTTCTGTCACGCAATCCATCGCTGGCATGTTGTGCCTTGTACGTTTGGGTCAACAGAAATGTGTCTCCAGTTTAGAAATGCAGAATCCTTTCTGGGACCATGGGAAGGTGTATAAGGAGGGGAGCCCAGCACTTAGTGGGACCACTGCTCCCTCATGAGACCACTAGAAAGGAAGGTCAGAGGCACACGCTGAAAAGCTCGACAGGAACACATACAGTGCCAATGTTCTGGAAAATGTCTGTGTGGGTGGCCCACAGGAGTGTATCTGAGGAACCAGGTGAGGAGGCCATGCACCCTGGAAGCTTCCCTGGCAGAGGTGCATGGTGGCTTTGGCAGATAACAAAGACCTCTTGATTTTTAAAATTGCATCTAGAAAGTTGAGGCCCACATCTGAGTGCACGGAAGGGGGCTCCTTGAGAACCTTTTCCTTAGTCAGACTATGCTCTCAGGCTGTTGACCCTTGAGTAAGGAATCATCTATAAAAGACAACTTGTTTGCAGATGGATAGTAACATTCCAAGTTGATTTATGTACATTCAAGCAGTCATATTTGTGCAGTGGCCTCATCCAAAAATAACTTGGGTGGCTGTTTTTACGGTAAAATTCAGACCATCAAAGTCATAAATAACTTAGGAATAAATAGTTGCAATCCATAAATACCTCAAGCCTGTGTGCTCCCAGCCCAGTTTTCCCCGTTGTCAATGCTGGGCCAGGAGGCCTGTGACAGGTGATGCCTCTGCTTACAGCCGTAGCTCTTTATACCATCCCCCGGTTACTTCAAGAGCCTTCATAAACACCCAGTGAAACTTGAAAGTTGGAAGGCACACAGGTGTTCAGAATTTGTTCTCTGGGAAGAAAATGAGCCTCTCTCGTTACTGATGTTCTTCATGAAAATGTGAATTAGCACATACTCATGTTGATCATCTCTTTTCATTAAGGAAAAGAAAGAAAAGGAACCCTTCTGGGCATTTCCTTTCGGAGCAAGGCCTGGCACAAAACCACCTTAGAAGGTAGTTGCACCTTCATTTCCTCAGGGCCTCTACTCTGAGTCCCACTCACATGGCAGCTTGCCAGGCAGACTTCCCAGGCGCCAATCTCAGTACTCCATTATCGTCTCTCCCAGAACGTTCTCTGAGGCCAGGTTCCCCCATTACCATCAATACCGCAGCTACACATGTGGAGAAAAGCCAGGGCTAAGGGGGCTGGTTGTGATCAAGGGCATGGAGCATGGTTTCAGCACAAAGGCATCCCGGCTTCTCTGTTTTCCGGCCCGGCCGGGAACTCGGGAGCGGGCTTTGAGGCAGTCGTTTTGTCTGGAATCCTCGGAGCTCCTGGGCCTGCTGTCCTGTCCGCTTTCTCTACCTTAGAGATAAAGGCACTTCAGAGATTCTGCGGAAATGCAAACCTCTGATTCCTGTCCACATGCATTTCTAAGCTCCCAACCATGTTCCTTCTCACCTCAAATGCTCAGTGCCCCTGGAAGCAGCAGCTTTGACATGATTTTCATGGTACTTATAATCACCCTAATTAATGAAGTCACTTAAATAGTAAAGAGTTGGCTGGTTTTTCAGGAAGTGCCATTTTAGGAAGCATAAACACTGAACCCACAGTACTATATTTGAGCTAACCAGCTTTTTTTTAATTGAAGGAGTAACACATGAGTATTTTAAAACAAAATTTTTTGAACGGCACGAAAGGGCACAGGATGAATATCCGGTCCTCCTGTAATGATTTCCTTTTCCCAGAGACAACTATGGCCTTTCCTGTGCCTCTGGTACCAATTTGTGCTTGTGTCTAACATATGTATATAAGCTTACGTACATATGTGCATGTGTGGTGGGTGGCATGGTGTTCATAGCATATATACACACCCATAGGCATGGGTGTGGTGTGTGTGGGCGCATCTGCAGACGTTTTCTGGCGTGAGCCTTCTAGATATCTGGTTTTGCACCTTGCTTCTCCAATTGACCAATAACTCTTGAGTACCACTTCATATCCATGTGTGTAACACTGCCCTGTGCAGCGTTTTTTGTTGCTTGTTTTCATTTTTATTTTAAAGTTGAAGGGTACATGGGAGAATTTACTATATAAGTAAATTGCATGCCAGTGAGGTTTGGGCTTCTAGTGGGCCCTTTCTCCCCAGTGGACCTGGTATCCAGGGTGTTGTCGTGTGCCCCTTATCCCTCCCCCCTCCCTCCGTCCCTTCTTTAGCAGTGTCCAGCACCTTTGTGCTCATGTGACCAGTGATGAGGGCCCGCTTATGAGTGAGAACATACAGTATTTAGTTGTTTGCTTCTGTGATAGTTCACTTAGAAAGATGGTCTCTAGCTGCATCCGTGTTGCTGCAAAGGTAATTATTTTGTTCTTCTTTATGGCTACATAATAGTCCTCCATGTATATGTATCACATTTTCTTTACCCAGTCCATTTTCGATGGACATCTGGGTTGCTTCCATGTCTTTGCTATTGTGAATAGCAAACAGTGACCATACATGTGCAGGTGTCTTTTTGGTAGAGCAATTTATGTTCTTCTGGGCATATTCCCAGAAGTGGGATTGCTGGATCGTATGGGAGCTCAGTTTTTAGTTCTTTGAGAAAATGCCACACTGCTTCCCACAGAGGTTGAACTAGCTCACATCTGCCGGTACCTTGTAATGGTTGCATAGTATGCCTTTACTCAGTGAATCCACCGCCTGTGAATGGACATGCAGTCTGTCCTCTATCTTTGCTGTTACAGTGTGCCACTGAGTGTCCATGTTCTCACATCTTTGCCACATATACATGCAAGAATATCTGTGACAGAATCTCTAAGAGGTCGATGAGATGAGCATTTTATTCTAACAGGTTTGCCAAAATGCCCCCCCAGGGGTTGTATCAGTTATATACCCTCCTGGACACCACGCCATGATGGTCCAGAATTCTTTTGAAATGCACTGTCTGTTCTGCCATTTCTTTGCAGTGAGTGCGTTGGAATTTCCAACCTTCCTAAGTGAGTCTTTGGAAGTCCTTTGTCTGAACGACAACCACCTCGATGCAGTCCCACCCTCGGTCTGCCTACTGAAGAGCTTGTCAGAGCTCTACTTGGGAAAGTAAGTACACATCCGTGATGGCTGTGCCAGCCCCACTGGCCCAGGGAGGCAGAACGTCCTTTCCTAAACCACTGGGACACAAAAGTCAGGCAGAAAGAGGCCATCTATTTGCCAACAAGCAGTAGAGGAATTTTCAGCACTTGGCTTGGTCAAGGAGGTGGGAGAAGAGGAAGAGAGGGGTAGGGATGCAGTGATACACACTTTTGCCCCTTCACTCAGGTTATAACGAGGAGAGCTGCTCCATCCTTCATCTTTTCAGGACTCAGCTCCCACTGTGAGCCAGACACTGCCAGAGGGTTTAGGCAGTGTGCAGAGCCCGATGAAAATGTAAAATGTTGTATTCATATTGGAGCGACATTGCCTTTTCTAGAAAAGGTGGTAGCCAGGCGCAGTGGCTCATGCCTATAATCCCAGCACTTTGGGAGGCTCAGGTGAGAGGACTGCCTGAGCCCATGAGTTCGAGACCAGCCCGAGCAACTTGGCGAGACCTCATCTCTACAATTAAAAAAAAAAAAAGAAGTGGTGCTCATCTGTAGGGTGCTATAATTAGTAGAAGAGATAGGAAGGTGGGGGGAGGGGCGCGGTTCTCAACCATAGGGATTTGCAGAAGACAGAGCTGCCCTTTCCACCACAGTTTCTCCAGGGAGAAAGGTTTTAGAATTAGAATTTTAACGGGATGCTCAAAGTCAGGGTCCAAGGTATGGGACTTGGAGTGCAGGCTTACAGTGGCCCCTGCAGGCCACAGAGGCTGATGGGAGCTATATGTGTGTGCATGCATGTGTGTGCCTGTGTGAATGCATCTGTGTGTATGTGTTCTCTAATGGTGTGCATATGTGTCCTCAGCAACCCTGGCCTCCGAGAGCTGCCTCCTGAGCTGGGGCAGCTGGGCAACCTCTGGCAGCTGGACACCGAGGACCTGACCATCAGCAACGTGCCTGCAGAAATCAGGAAAGAAGGTAGGGCTTCTGCAGGCCTGTCCCTTAGTGTCACCTCCATAGAAAGACAACTCATGTCTGCTTGTTAAGTTCTGGGGATGGAAACAGCAGTGACCCATGAGGCCAGCCCCAGCCTCTGAGTTTGGCAAGAGATCATATAATTGTTTCTAAAGCGATAGTCACTGAGGGCCACTGTATTGAGAATGACCCTGTGGTATACCTATTCGTGACCTCCTAAGCAGCACGGCCTTTGTCCTTAGGATCTTGACTTTTAAACTTCATGGTTGGGGTGATGAGTATCATGTCGTCCTTCCACCAGATCCAACGGTCTTCCTCAAATGCCCCCTTTAGAACACATGGAAAGTGTTCCTTCATGGCAGGATTTTGCTCCCTAAGAGATGGGAGCACGTTTTCATTTCATTTCATTTAGCATCAGCAGCATCCACTCTGCTCCTTTCTGACCCTGCGCAGGCCCCAAAGCAATGCTGTCCTACCTGCGTGCCCAACTGCGGAAGGCGGAGAAGTGTAAGCTCCTGAAGATGATCATCGTGGGGCCCCCACGTCAGGGCAAGTCTACCCTTCTGGAGATCTTGCAGACGGGGAGGGCCCCGCAGGCACTGCACGGCGAGGCCACCATCAGGACCACCAAGTGGGAGCTGCAGAGGCCGGCTGGCTCCAAAGCCAAGGTCAAGGACAGGCGGCGTGCAGAGTCTCTGTGGGTGGAAGGGACGCTCCTGGACCCCTTCTGCCTTCTCCCTGGAGAGTCCAGGATTTTCTTGGCCTGGTACCCAAAACCCAGGCCGTTTGCTGGGGCCACCATGTGCTATTCCATTCCAGCCCTGCCAGGGCAGCAGGTCGTTTCCTAACATGACCTTGCAGTTTTCTGTTCTAGTTCACTTGAGACTCTGGGCTGGTGATTCTTAACCGTGGCTGTCTGTTAGCTTCCCTTGAGGAGCTTTCAAAGACAGCGATCCTCAGGCTTCACCACTCTCTGACCCCAAAGATTCAGATCCAAGTGTTCTGGGGTAGGGCCCCGCCCCCCACTCTGCCAGTGGTGAAGTACCAGCATCTGACCCAACAAGAAGGCTGAGGAAGCACTCCAGAACTTAGTGCTCTGTCCTTCCTGATACCTCACTTACCCCAAGTTCTAAAAAATCATGGGGTTTTTGTGGGGTTGTTTTCTTTGTTTGGAGTCAGTGCCATTGTGTCACCTGTGCAGTGGCATGATCACGGCTCACCACAGTCTTGACCTTCAACTCAGGAGATCCTTCTGCCTCAGCCTCCTGAGTAGCTAGGACTCCAGGCACATGCTACCACACCTTGCTAATTTTTTTATATTTTGTAGAGACGAGCTAAGTTGCCTAGTCTTGTCTCAAACTCCTGGGATCAAGCAGTCCTCCCATAACAGCCTCCCAGAGTACTGGGATTACAGGCATGAACCACTGTGCCTGGCCTAAAAAGTTCTGTTTCTAAGCCCTGCTTGAAATGACTCCTTCCCTGAACATATTAGTCATCTTGTTTTCCATTCAATACCAGGCAAATGGAAATGAAACTTTTCTTGCTCTTAAAACAAAAAAACGATCCCATAGAATATTGGTGGGATCCCTGGCATTAAGCACAGGGCAGTCAGCCTTGCTTTGAGCTTGGGTGATGGACACACAATGCCGTCCTATCTGCTGTCGGTGTTTCTGCCACCCTGTGGTCCCTCAAAGACCCAAGGTGCAAGGAGGCTGTTTTTCCTGTGGAAACCAAGGAACCCTGGGATCTAGATGTTGTGTGACTTTCTCCAAAGCCCTGAACACAGTGCCAGCTAGAGCGAGGTTTAGCTGCAGTGTCTTTCACACAAAACCACTTTCCAAATGCAGTTTAAGACGTCAGGCATTTAAACTGCAAGCGTGTCTAACACAGACTCAGAATCTGGTCTTCTGAGGAATGGAGTGCTGTCTGTTAGAGCCAGAGCAGGCTGTTCCAGTCACTAAAACCAGACCCAACCTGGAACACCCAGGAGCGAACAAACCTAGCTAACTTGTGTCCCCAGGCTCTCTGCAGTAACCAGAATCTTCTGCCTCCTCTCCTGCTTTGCTTTTTTAGCAGCTCCTCAATCTCATTTTCTTCCTTTCGCTGAGGCCAGAGTGGTGAATCCGTGCTTGTGTTTTTCTGACCTTCAGCCTCCACTTCCTTCCTGCCATGATTAGTTCTCCCCCTCCTTGGGTGGGAGGATGGGGATCGAGGGAGTGCTGAAGCCTACAGTCTCAACTTGGCCAGTTGAGAACAGCTGTGCGTTCTCATCTTTACACAAAACCAGGTCAGCATGCTATGTCTTGGAATCCAAAACGCTGCATCACGGAAATGACTCCTTGCTACAGAAAACTGCAGCTTTAGCTTCTCAGACCAGACTCTGACCTCATACAATGATAAAGAAACCACCGTTTACACAGCCGTTCCCGGCAGCCCGACAGCTAATCTTTTGTTTGATTCCCACATCAGGGGAGTTTCCCATCATCCTTGGTGGGTGCCGTCCTCTGACCTCCACCAGTTCGGAGGCCTGTCTCCTGGGTCTTGCCCTCCCACAGAGAGAGGCTAAACCTCAGTGCTAGCAGTGACATCAGAGCAGGGCGTCTTCCAGCAGGATGTCTCTTAACCGTCTGCAGCTGAGACAGAGCCAGGCACATGCCCTCTGAGTCTGTCCAGGGCCTGGCCTCTGCTGTTAGGAATAGATAGAACCTTCCAGAAGCCCACCCCCATTCCATAAGGCCCCTTCCCTTGCCTGAATTACTGGTTCCCAAGAGTAGCAATAGGGTATCTGTCCATAGCTTTTCACCATCTTTTTTTTTTTCAGTACAGCACTCAGCATTATTAGGTATCCCATTTGATTTACTAAAACCTTGGTCTCTAAAATGCCTCCTGTCCCTCCCTTGTTGCTCAAGTAGGTTGAGTCGGTGGAGTTCAACGTCTGGGACATTGGGGGCCCGGCCAGCATGGCCACTGTCAACCAGTGCTTCTTCACGGACAAGGCCCTGTATGTGGTGGTCTGGAACCTGGCACTGGGGGAGGAAGCCGTGGCCAACCTCCAGTTCTGGCTGCTCAACATCGAGGTGAGGACTCCAGGCGCCAACCCTGTGGTTCTCAGGTCTCAGAGCATCACAGGGGCCTGACCGCTTCTCTGAGGCATCCCCTGTACTGAGAAAAAAAGGAATTATGTTAGAAAGGATTGCTTTGCACTTCGAGGGGCTTTCACGGAGGGCTCACAATGGTGGCCTGCTTGCATTTTACAGTGAAGCGCTTAAAACCCTCCTCTGCTGGGAGTTGGTGGCGCTCCAATAATTTCCTTGCTTCCTTAAATTTGAGAAACCTACCCTTGGTTTAAAAAGGGGAGCAGGGCCCCCCTCCCAGATATCAAGATGTTGTTTCCCTGCCTCGGGTGGCTGATGTCACGTCTGAAGGGTCAGAAACCCCTCCCCACACCTTTAATGCAGCACGCCCTGCAAGGAGGTCATGGGGTGTCCCAGACACCCCTCAGTGCAGCAGGCCCTTGGCATTCCCAGAGAGTGAGGGGTGTGGGCACTGCCAGGGATGATAGGCCAGAGGACAGCGGCTGAGCGAGGGCCGCGGGTATCCAGGATTGTTGCACCTGTGTGGCTTGTTCAGAGAATGGACATTGCTCAGTCACGGAGTTCCCTGTTGTAGGCCAAGGCCCCCAACGCCGTGGTGCTGGTGGTTGGAACCCACCTGGACTTAATCGAAGCCAAATTCCGAGTGGAGAGGATCGCAACACTGCGCGCCTATGTGCTGGCACTCTGCCGCTCCCCCTCGGGCTCCAGGGCCACTGGCTTCCCAGACATCACCTTCAAACACTTACAGTGAGTGCCCTACCTACCTCTCGCTGCCCTTTTTCCATGCCTGTGTGCTGGTGCTTCTTGGGGGTCACGTTACACCGCTGTGGCTCATTTCCTCCTCTGTAAAATGGGCTCGTTGGCAAGACAGACAAAAGCAGCATATTGTGGGGCACCTGGCAACAGTGCTTTGCACAAAGCAAGGCCTCAATAAACTTCTTGGGTCATCTTTCTTGAATTCTCTGGACTTGCAAGCATTTAGGACAGATCTGGGAGGACTAGAGAAGCTACAGTGCCTCCTCAGGGGGCATGATGAGTAAGCTCAGATCTTTTGCACACACAGCGAGATTTCCTGCAAGAGCCTGGAAGGCCAGGAAGGGCTGCGGCAGCTGATTTTCCACGTCACCTGCAGCATGAAGGATGTTGGCAGCACCATCGGCTGTCAGCGGCTGGCGGGAAGGCTGGTGGGTACCTTACTCATCTGGCTTAAACCTGAATGCTTCCCATTCAGGGGAACTGCACTGCCCTCTCTCTGCTGGAAGACCAGTATCTGTGCTGTAAGGCTCAGTGGTCCCAGGCAAGGGCGGGGTCAGGATGGAAGACAGCGAGCAGACACATTTCCCCCTTCAGACCTCAGGTTGGGCTGAGGGGGCCAGGCTGGGGCTGCCCAAGCTGGTGGGCACACCTTGGACCTGGGGGGCCCTCCTCACCCACCTGTCCCCCAGATCCCCCGGAGCTATCTGAGCCTGCAGGAGGCTGTGCTGGCAGAGCAGCAGCGCCGCAGCCTGGACGACGATGTGCAGTACCTGACGGACCGGCAGCTGGAGCAGCTGGTGGAGCAGACGCCCGACAATGACATCAAGGACTATGAGGACCTGCAGTCAGGTGGGTGGGGCTGGGGCGGGCTCCCAGCAGGCACAGACATGGGGAGCCAGTAAGGCTGGGCAGAGAGTCGAAGCCCCCAGGGAAGGTGAGGTCGAGGCACCTGCAAGAAGTGGGACCTTCTCTGCTCAATAACTCTAGCTTGGCCCTCCACACAGCAGGCCAGTATATGTTGAATGAGAGAACCAAAAACTCAGCCTTGTGTTCTTCCTTCCCTCCATTTCTCCTCTCTTTCATCCCTCCTTTCTACCCTTCTTTCCTTGGAGACAGAGAGAACACAAACAACTACTCTACACCAGCATTGCCTCGGCCACTAGGATAGGCATATGGGCAAAATGGACTGGCCACGCCCTCCAGGGCTGACAGTCCCATGGGGGGGGGCGACAGAGGTTAAACACCTGCAGTCAATGGTCATTATCCGCAGTATTTATGTTCTATAAAATCTTCACAAACACGGAATTAACCAATATTGAGTTGTTGCTCCTAGGGGAAATAAAGGGTTAGATTCCTGTGAGTCTCTGGTGACCAAATTTTCATTAACTGATCAATACAGAACCCTGTTTTATGTGTGTTTCTGCTATAAAACACCTTATTTAATATATGTTGTTGATTCATTGACATTGAATTCACAATTAACATCACCATAACTCATTCCTGATCAAAGCTTCTCTGACATGTATTTTCTCTGTAAGGCACATTGCAGCCTTCTTGAACTTAGGGACACTAGACAGCACTTCAGCACTGTGACTGGGGCCATGTTAAACAGTGAAAGCACCAACAAAATGTACAAAAATTTGAAAGACATGGCACAACACAGGCCACAGAAGGCACTTGTTCCCAGCATGAGAGCTGCAGCCAGGCAGAGAGAGTGTCAACTTGCTCACCCTCAGCTGGGAACACACATGTTGGGCCACTGAGATGTTTCCCCACTCTGCACGTGTCTGCAGGTGACTTCAGGAGCACCTCAAGTATTGATTTGGGGCTGCAACTACATTCTGGCAAGTGGGCAAATTTGGATGAAATCTGCTGATAATGAGGATTGACAGTAGTTACCCAGGTGTCCACCAGCTCAGGACACTGGCAAGAATTACCAGGTGCCACCAGAGCACCTAAGATCAGGCCACCAGTGTGCCAGGATCTTGGTTTCTCCATGGGAAGAATTTGTGACCTGTCCCCTCCCCCGGGAATAGGACCACCCCAAGGTTCCCTTCGCTCCTTTGTCTAGCACTGCTTCCTCTTCCCCTTGTCTGGACAGCCATCAGCTTCCTCATAGAAACCGGCACCCTGCTGCACTTCCCAGACACCAGCCACGGCCTGAGAAACCTCTACTTCCTCGACCCCATTTGGTTGTCCGAATGTCTGCAGAGGATCTTCAACATTAAGGGCTCCCGATCAGTGGCCAAGAACGGGGTGATCCGAGCAGAGGACCTCAGGATGCTGCTGGTGGGCACTGGCTTCACACAGCAGACGGAAGAGCAGTACTTCCAGTTCCTGGCCAAGTTTGAGATCGCCCTACCTGTGGCCAATGACAGGTGAGGACACGGACCCAACCGGGCTGGGTCTGGGGCTGCTGGGTACCTGAACAGATTTCCAGGGATTTGTGCCACTGCCCTTCAAGGACAGGCCAGCACCTGATTATGACCTGCCTACATGGCCAGGTCAGCATGACAGTGGGCATGGTTGGCCCTGCCTGCTGGCCACACCCTCCTCTGCCATGGGGCTTTCTTTTCAGGGAGTTGAAAGAAACCCATTTATTAAAGAGGGATAAGAAAACATTCAAGGATGGTATTAAAAATAATTGGGGGCCAGGCTTGGTGGTTCAGCCTATAATCCCAGCACTTTGGGAGGCCAAGGCGAGTGGATTGCCTAAGTCCGCAGGTTCAAGACCAGCCCGGGCAACTTGGTGAGACCTTGTCTCTACAATAAATAAATAAATAAATTTAGCCGGGTGTAGTAGCACGCGCCTATAGTTCTGGCTACTTGGAAGACTGAGGCGGAAGGATCCCCAGAACCCAGCAGGTTGATGCTGGGGTGACCATAAGTGTGCCACTACACTCTAGCTTGGGCGAGGGAGTGAGACTCCAACTCAAAAATAATAATAATAATAATAATAATAATAATAATTGGGGGTTCACTTTTAGGGGGCTTAATTGCTGGGTTATTTGATGAATAAAAATAGAGTGAGTAACAAGGCTGTGCATGTCAGTCACATAGTCCGGCTTTGACTTGCAGTCCATCATGACAAAACTGTGAAAGCCACCTTACTCCCTGCTCCAAGAGTGGATGGTTGAAGAGTCCACGTGGGGCTGCTCTTTGTCAAGCTGGGACGTCTGTACAGGGGTAACCGCTGCCTCTTTCTGTGGACTTTTCCTAGTTCTTTAATGTGGTCAGGTCTCCCAACCCTAAATCACAAACAAAACAAAAAGCCTCCCTCTTCCTTTTCCTCCTTTCTTGTCCTTGCCGTCACATGCTACTCCTCTCTGACACCCTCTGACCAACTCACCACTCTGTGCTGGTCATGAAGCCACCAGCGGGTACTGCAGTTGCTCTCCCTGATTCCTCTGCTGAACCTGCCCCCAAGGGGTCAGAACCTTGGTCTCTAGACAGCTTTCTTAACGGGGAACCCTGTTACCCCCACCCCGCCTCAATACTAGGAGTGGAATTGCTGGGTCATAGAGCGAGTGTTTAATTTTATAAGAAACCATAAACAGTGCTTTCAAGAGATTATATTCTCTAGTCACTCTGTTTCTTCACATTTGCTGTCTATAGGTCTTTTCTCATTTTAGTTGTTCCAGTGGATATGAAGTTATAGTTCATTATAGTTTTACTTTGCACTTTTTTCATGAGCTTATTGACCATTGGTATATCTTCTTTTGTAAAATGTCTGTTCAAGTTTCCTACCTATTTTATACTTAGAATGTTTCCATTTGGGGTACTTATTTGTGGTTCTTTATACCATTCAGATACATCTTTGCAAATATTTTCCAGTTTGTTACTTGCTTTTTATGTTGATAAAGTCTAACTTATTTTTTCTCTTGTGTTTATTGCTTTTCTTTGTCTTCTCTAAGAAATATTTGTTTATATTAATATCTTAAAGATCTTCTTATATTTTTTTCCAGAAACTAGGAGTTTCTCTCTTTCTTCTAGGCCTATAATCCATGTCAAAGTAATTGTTGTGTGGTGGGAAGTAGGAGTCAAAGTCCTTTTTGTTTCTTTACGTTTATCCAGTTGTTCCAGAGCCATTGGTTGAAAGGATTTTTGTTTTCCCCATTGAATTACCTTGGCTCTTTTTTTCTTTTTTTTTTTTTTTTGAGTTGGAGTTTTACTCGGTCACCCAGACTAGAGTGCAGTGGCCGCTCCTGGCCACTGCAGCCTCGCCTACTGGGCTCCAGTGATCCTTCCGTCTCAGCCTTCCGAGTAGCCAGAATTACAGGCGTGCGCTACCACGCCCGGCTGATTTTTTTATTTATTATAGAGATGAGGTCTTGCTGCCCAGGCGGGTCTCGAACCCACGGACTCAGGCAATCCACTCACCTCAGCCTCCCAAAGGCGCGGGATTACAGGCTGAGCCCCCAAGCCCAGCTTACCTTGGCTCTTTTATAAAATAAAATAAAAAATCCTTTATGTGGGCTTATTTCAGGATTCTGTTTTGTTCTACTCATCTTTGTACCTATCCTTATGCCATTGCCAAACTATACTGGTTATTGTAGCTTTAGAGAAAGACTTGAAATCAGGTCATGGAAACTTTCTGTATTAGTCTCCTGTGGCTGCTATAACAAATTACCGTGGATTTGGTGGCTTAAAACAACACATATATATTCTACAGTTCTAGAGGCTAGAATTCCAAAATCAGTTTCACCAGTCCAAAATCAAAGTGTCACCAGGATCATGCACCTGCTGGGGCTCGAGAAAAGAATCCATTTTCTTGTGTCGTCCAGCTTCTAGAACTGTTTCCTTGGTTCATGTTCCTTTCTTTCATCTTCAGAACCAGCAGCATAGCAGCATATTTTTAAATTTTATCTAAAGATAATATTTTACCTATTTATGGGGTACATATGAGTGCTTTTACATTCATGGAATATGTAGTGATCAAGTTGGGGTAACCATCACCTTGAATATTTATCATTGCTATGTGTTGATAACATTTCAAGTCCTTACTTCTAGCTATTTTGAAATATACAAGGAGAGACCCCAAAGAAATGGAATTTATTTATTAAAAATTATATACTTAGGGAGGAGGGGGAAGATGGCGGCAGAGCCAGTTGGACTATGTGAGTGGGTAAGTGCATGGATTAATTTACATGCATGTCTGTGTGTAAGTGGGCGTGTGAGTGGCTGACTGAGTGGGACTCAGGAGCAAGTGACCAGGTCTCTCTTGGTGAAGCAGCTGGTGCTATAGCTGCACTTCTTGGACTCTAGCGCTTTGCAAGGCATAGAAGCAGAGTGCTACTTTCTAAAATCTACAAAACTCTTCCCGGAAAGAAGTTGCCAGGAGCCACCGTCATTGCCAGACTGCCTGACCACTGCAGCACCAGGCCAGACACTGGTAGCAATGACTGTGGAGGGAGCCAGAGGCAGAGTCCCACTGGAGAAGATAAATCAGGCACCCCACCACCATCTTGAAAATGGGGCAGGGAAGTCCTCTGACTTGCTCACCATGGAGCAACAGACCAACTCTCTGTGACCTGTAAGTTAACTACTCTGGGGTTGATCATGACCCAGAGGAAATATCCTGAAAGCACAAACTTTGGAGGGACAAGATGAGTGCGTGGTCTCAGGTGCTCCACTCCCTACACTGACCCAGCTGTGGGACAAAGAGTGTGATCATAAAAGGACAAAGAAGACCCCTCACGAGGCCAGCAGCGAGTCCTGGGCTGACCCAACCCCCCCCCCCCC